TGGCTTGAGAAAATGGCACACAGCCACTTGACTTTCCCACGCTATTGTTGTTACCGCTGCTACCCACTAAGCCACTCACTAATTATGCAAAGGAAAAAATACACCGAAGCAGCAGTACCAGTGCCCGTGCCCGTGCCGGTACAGGTGCTGGTGGCGGTGCAGTGAAGTGCAGGGAGTAGGAGCAACATCAGCAGCAGCAGTAGCAGCAGCAACAGCAGCGGGGGGAGCTGGCGAAGGTATTTCTGTTGAATCTGGTCATACTAAAGTGGAACGCAGCGGAAAAAAGGAACGAAGAATAGCTTAAGGGTGTCGAAGTTATTTTGATGCCCTTGCAGTGATTATATTCGCTATGACAGAATACAATAAGTACATATGTACATAAATATGTACGTACATACTTTTTGAAGCATTGCAATGCATTAGCTACAAAAATACATCTGATTGGAATATGCTTCGAAAACTATACTTGAAAATAACTATGCTCTCTCGTCGCAAAGAGTATAGGCACGCACCACAGCAGCAACGAAGTGTGTGTGGAGAGCAATTCAAGCTAAATATTGCATAGGGTGAGGTCAAACTTGTCCATCGAGTAAGCACTTGCGTGGATTGGTTGCGCCTACACAAACACAATGGAACACTTTGATCCATGTTTGATGTCGAATCGAACGCAACTGAAAATGCGCCACCTCTCCCTCAAAAAACTATTCCACGCGAGCAGCGTATGTGAGTGTGTGGCAGCGAGATCTCGAGCATTTATATACATCTCGCTTGCACTTGTTGGCGGTAGGCGGCCGGACCGTTGCCTTTTTTCGCACGTGCTCCTACTGCGTACCGTAATGCCTCCTTTTTTGAGTGTGTGTGCTAATTTAGGCAGCTTTTGTTTTTTGTGCCTGAAATGACACACACATACTCGCGTGAGAGTGCAGACGCGTGTGTGGAGTGTGAGTGGGAGAGGCAGATAGATAGCAGCAAGAGGCTGAAAAATATAATGAGAGAATGAGAATGAAGAGAAATATTGAATGAGACGCGTTAGGGTTTTCTGCATACCCATTAATGCCATTTGTCTCTATATTTGGGAAGCATTTGGGAACTGAAGTGTCAATCAGTTTTTAAACATATTAAAGCCTTTTAAAACTGTTTCTATAAAAAAAAGTAACATATTTGAAAACCTAAATATTTTATTTTAATTTGTTATCAAAATGAAACAACAACAACATTTGAGCTTCATATACATATGCTAATATTTAATATTCAAAATACGCAAATAAGCATTGTCTGAGTGCAAAAGATTTGCGAGGAAACTGCAAATGGGAAATTTAGTGAAGATGGAGAGGAATAAAGTAAGAGTGTGAGAGAATGATTCTATTTTTTTTGTTCGTATTTTATTCTATGCTGATGTGTTGCCTGACACCGGCACCGCACACATTTACCAACAGCTATTCTCTCTCCCTTATTCATTCGTACTCTCATTCACTGCAATATTCACATTTATATGTACATATGTGCATAGATATATATATATGTACATCCACATGTATGCATGTACGTTGATAACTGCTGTGGCGGCGTAGGTGAATCTCTGGTTGGGATTTGTTAGGGTTTACGAAGCAGCCGTTAAGAGCCATTAAGAGCATTGCCTGCAGAGTGGTAGTAGAGCTAGAGCAGATTATTGCAATAAAAAAACAGAGTAGTGTCCGCTGCTACTCCTCTAATTGCCCATGGTGAAATTAGTAATAGGTGACGGATTCACCACAGTGCCTTCTCATTCGAGGCCCATTAAGCAACTATAAAGAAGGGCTCGTCGGCTTTCTAATGGGAAACGCAACAATGCTGTCAACAAGAGCGAGTAAAAGGGCGTGCAGAGAGAGAGAGAGAAACTTTACAATAATAAGAGTATAAGCTGCTCATAATTGCGTCCCACCACGGTCGTCGGGGGGAAATTACCCGAGGATCGCTGCCGACAGGCCCTCCTTTATAGTTGCTTCATGTTCGAGGCCCACCAGCTCATGGTGAAATTACTTATAAACGTTTGAGCAAGCGTGGTGAATATTTGAAGCACTTCAAAAAACACTTCATGCAGCGTTCCTCTTCTAACGCTTTGATCGAGCTCTGCACTATATTCCTCTCCTTCTGACGCAGGGATGTTTTATGCCTCTGCTTGCAAGTTGCGATCATCTTCTTTCGATCGCGCAACATTTCTACCATTCTCCTTCTTCGCATTTGATCAAAGAAGCGAACTGGGTCAGAGTCAATCGTTATTTGCTAGAAAAATCTAGAGCCGAGTGGTTGTGTCGCATTTACGGGATCATAATTAAAATCAGTTGCAAGTAAATCAACAACAACAATGGGCAAGAAGCGGAACCCTGGTGTGGTATTCACATATGTGGTGAACGTCAACAATGAATTTGTGTGCAAGGCGAAATACAACACGTTATGTGGATATGGGGAAGGTAAGTGTAATTCAACTGAACAATTGAAATGTTTGTCTTTCATAATTACTCCATCCACAGATAATTACCCGCAGAAGGCTCAACGAATGGCTTGTAAAAATCTATTCAAAAAGATGGCAATATATAACCAACGGCGCCACATGGGTGATGTGGAAGATGCCATGTACATTCTGGACAAAAAAGTTCGCAAGAATTATAAAAAGGCGAAGAAGGCCAATTCGAATAATTCAAAAATGCACACATAAGCTTCAAAGTTATCCTTAGGCTGGAAATGTGTTCCTACATATGTATTTATGTCTATTAAAATACATGCAAATCAATTAACAAAATCGCAATTATTATTTCTGTAAAGCACAAGCAAAAAAAAAAACGGATATGTTGGGCAACGTGTTTCTAAGGCAGCCGAATGATGTATGTATACAATTGTAAATGTATGTTTATACACACATCCATGCATATGTATGTACGTTGCGAGGAATGAACCAGATAATTACAATTACAGTTATGATTTACATACATACATACACACATATGAGAATGCTCTTGAGTCTAAATTTCTTGAAGTTCACAATCTGATTTCAAGTTTCACGCGAAGTGCCAATAGAACACACAATTTGAATAGTGTGTGTGAGTTGGGGTGTTAGTGTGTGTCGATACAAAGTTCATGCGAAACACTAAAAAATAAGTCTGCGGTCATTTTGAATGTTCTGGAAACTGAAAAAGTAAATTATTTTGCTCAGTTTTTGTGCGCACTCAACCCTTTATTTCCCAATGGCAACGATGAAAATGTTGCCAATTGCGGCTGGTTTATATAAAAGCAGCAGCGTACCACAATTTCCAGGAACTGGTTGTATTTGTCATATGTACATATATATATATATATATACATACACATATACATATACATATATATGTCTGGCGCCATCGTCTTCAGCAGCGATCGACAGTGAACGAGGCACGCGAGTAGTAGTAGTGAAGGAACAATCCTTATCTAAAATAAGTATCAGTTGTGTATTGTATTAACAAATTCTCCAATCGTTCGATGTGTGAGTATACAAAAAGTAACAACTTCCGCGCTCCTCCCAGCGATCTGCCGCACTCCTCCCACACTCCTCAAAATGCCATCAGCTGTGCGGCGGCCAGAAGTACACACACACTTTTCGCTATTCCTTTGTTTTTCTTTTCGTTTTTTCCTGTTTCGTTTTGTACTTTTTTTTATTGGTTTGTGCGCTTTATGCAACGAATATCGTTTTACGGTCGTTTTCGGGTGCCGATTGTTGTTTCTGTTGCTGTTGCACGTACATACGTGCAAATTTTGCGAATTTTCCACTTTCTGCATGACAGTGGGGATGGGGTTGGCCGAGGCGTTAGCAGAACGGCGGGAATTTTTCCACTTTTATTGTTTTTAAAACGCTTTCCAATTTTTAGCTGCTCTTCGCTTATTTCTATTTTGTGGCTGCCGCTGCTCTCTGGTTTTGTTGTTACCCTTTCCACGGCGGGGTATATTAGTAGCGCAAGAGAAGGAACCAAGGGAACAAGGTCGAATGATCTTGTGCCCATCTGTAGTCAAAGTGCCTTATGAATCGTATAACTGATGATCACACATCGGATAAATCCATCAAGACAGGGCATGAAATGCCTATGCCTCGAAAGAGGGTTTCTTTCGTTCGTTTCTATTTAGTTTGTTGTTGTTTAAGTTGCAATTGCAATTGCAGTTTTATTTAACGCGCAATTTGTCTGCTCTAGGCGGAGAGAAAGGCAGAAGAAAGGATGGGTTAGGGGTTGGGGGTTGGGGGTTGTGGGCTGGTGGGTGGCCTTTGAGGTCAATGGCGATGGTGGTCCAATAACATTTTCGGCTACCCCCACCGCCACACCACACACTCCACAAAGTGAATGAAAAGAAATAAGCGAAAAAGCACAGAACAAAATCCGAAATTGAAAACCAAATAAATAAGTGAGCTTTCTCTCTCTTTCTCTCACTCACGCTGTGGGTGGGCATTGTATGTGTGTGTGAGTGCTGTGTGTTTGTGTGTGGTTCAAGGGGAAATGTAATTTGAGACAAAATATCCGAGTGGCTGTGTGAAAAATTTAGCCACAACAAACGAAACGCAAGACACAACTTGGACAACAACGTCTTGGGGCTGCTTTAAGGTATCCATTTACGGGTCTTCTCCTTATGGATATCTTTTAACCCCACACATATACCATTTGAAATATTATATCAATGCACTTAAAGAATAATTGCAATGTTTTAATATGTACATAGATGCTTCTCTAAGCTTGTCTGTTCCTGAGAAAACTTTCCTTCCAATTATTTGTTTATTAATAGTTGTCTTTAATTAATTTCCGCTAACTGTTGGTTCCTAACAAATGGCAACTGAAATACCTCAAACACCCAGTGCTTGGAGGACTAAACACAAATTCAATACAAATTGTGTACACTTGTAGGTTTGTCCCTGTCCCACAGGTGTAAGCTGAATAAACTCTTTTTGATTTTAGATTTTTTAATTATCATTCCTCTCTCTCTCTCTCTCTCTGTCTCTTTTGCAGTTTTGCGCACTCCTGGGGGGTTTTTAAGGGGGGCAACCAAACGGATCTGTCAAAAGTGCAATCTGAATCGGAATCCGGAATCGGAATAGGCATCGGAATTGGAATCCTATTTCGGAATCAACAAGCTCTCAAGTGCTTCGTGGGCAATAGGCCACAACTCCAATTTGTGCGGGACTGCCTTTTGGTTGAGCGGCGCCTGCAGCAATGACAATGTCATCGACGCTAACACTAACGCTTGCCGAAGCAGAGGCAATGGGGACGGCGGCATTGGAATCCTCCGAGGACGCAGCAGCAGCAGCGGCAGCAGCGGCAGCAGCAGCGCCCGAGGCGGGCGTTGATATGTTCTCGGATGCGGATATGGCGGAAGTGCGGCATGTTGTTCAACGCATTTTGGTGCCGTGCGTTTTTGTTATTGGACTATTGGGAAATTCAGTGAGCATTTATGTTTTGACGCGGTAAGTGCACTTGTCTATCCTCTTAACACTCCCACTCCCACCTCCACTCTCTCTCTCTCTCTCTCTTCGTATCCTTTGTTGTTGTGGGATTATGGCCCCAGCCGATTTAGATTTGGAAATGGAAATGGCATGGGCGTGACCATTCAGCAGTGTTATTTTATTTTATGCTTTCCATGCATGCCGCTTCTCTCGCTTCCCTCACTCTCACTCTCACTCTCACGCTCCCATTGTGTGTGGGTTGTGTGTGTTGTGTGTGCGTTGTGCTGTTTGCTGTGGTGTGTGCTGTAGCGGGTACAGGTATGCAGCACATTAAACACGGCATTTAATTGTAGCCAGCGTTGCACTTTAAAATCATTTCGAACACCCCGACAACAATGGCCCCAGCCAGTCGTTTTATGCGATGTGCTCCAAAATGCAAAATCCAGCGGGGGATCGCCGTGTCTGTAGACTATTGATACACACTCGTATAATTCTTTCTATACATGTATCGTGCTTTTTATGGGTAATTTGCTTTGATTAATTACTCCCCAATTAATAATATTCGACAGCCAATTGGCTGGGCCAGTCCTGTCACTGTCATAGGGCATCAAATGCTTCGTTACGCCCCCGTTGACAGTCTCTTTATCATGTTGTCTTCTGTTTTTGTTGCTGTTGTTTAACAGATAAGAGACCCTGGGGGCCTGGCGCTCGGGGCATGGCTGCAAGGTTGCAGATGAGTCCGATTCAGTGGCACTGCTGCTGCTGCTGCTGCTGCTGCTGCGGCTGTTGTTGTGGCGAGAGCACATTCGAAATGGTTGCAGGATGTAGAATATGCGACAGTTGTGTGTGCCCTGCAACACCTGGACTGTGGCATCAGGTGTGCTCCGGGTGGCAAGCAACCCACCAGGGAATGGCAGATCAAATTCGATTATACGATTAGATAGCTCCTCAAAAATGAGATGAGAACAGTTCGAAATGAATGCCAGATCCCAGGACTGAATGAATGCCTGACAGAAGCTCATTCGTGGCATCGATGTGGCCGGTTGGCAAACAGAACGGCATGCAAATGTTGAACAGTTAGTTTTAATTATTGTCCATCTCTTGGCTTTTATGAGTGTGCCGACATTTGTGTGAATTTTCGACAAAAAAATCCCATAGTCCTCCCCGTGCTGACTCCGCCAACGCTTTCGGGCAATTTGGTATTTCAATTGGTGTTGCATTTTGGCAACGTTTGCATTGTCCGCCAAATTGTTTGGCCTGATTTCAACAGCACACACATACAGACAGATGCCCACAGATGCAGCTACAGATACAAAATGAATACAGAGAGAGGGAGAGGGAGAGAAGAAGAGAGAGAGAAACAAATTGCTATTCTCTGCTTTGTTTTATTTTGATTTGATTTGATTTGATTCCTGTCACCATTTAGGAAGCGCATGAGATGCACCACAAACATTTATCTAACGGCCCTGGCAATTACGGACATTGCCTACCTGACCTTTCAATTAATCCTAACACTCCAGCACTACGAGTACATCAAGTACCACTGCGAGATCTATTGGCAGCTCTACGGATACTTTGTCTGGCTATGCGATGTCTCTGGTGAGTAAAAGAGGAGAACAAATATACATATGTATGTACATATATTCTTGGGCATCAACTTTTGTAACGAGCATAAAGTTTAGATATGGTGAATAGTTTTTTTGGATTGAGCTGATCAAAGCTTCAACGGCACAATGGGCATCCAGGCACTCCTACTTGTTCTGGCTTCTGCCTTCTGCCTTCTGCCATACCAACCATTAGCCATGCATCAATGTTTGGGGGGCACATCAATTGGAATTGCACCTGCGGCTGCGGCCATGGCTTGGTGCTGCTGCTGCTGCTGTTGCTGTTGGTGCATCAATTTCATTGAGCTCTCTGTCAATTTACGATGCAAAGTTAGCGCAGCGCCTTTCTACAGCGGTCTGTTGGTCAGCTGTGGCTCACAGCAATCCGAAAAGCTATGCGATACCCCAACAAGGGATTCAACCAAGCCCCAACCCCACTACCACGGAGTGCGTGGCTCATCAGTGGAACGCAAACGCGAGACGCGGAGAGCGGGTATAGCAGGGAACGGTTAACGTGGAACGTGGAATGGGGAACGTGGAATGGGGAACGGGGATGGCTTGTCAATCGTTTAGAGTGCGCAACATTTTGAATAAAAATTGACAGGCAACGTGGGAGATGCGTTGTAGGGGGGAGGGGGGGGGGATAGATGCAACTGATGGCCAAGTGATTGTCTAACCAAAGTCTCTCTTTACTCCTCTCTCTCCGCTCTGACAGCATACATCTCCATTTACATAGCTGTATGCTTCACCATAGAGCGATTTATTGCGATACGCTATCCGCTGAAGAGGCAAACGTTCTGCACGGAATCCCTCGCCAAGAAGGTGATATCAGGTGAGAGTGGTGTGAAAATTGGGTGAAGCCAGAGATGGCCCCCCTCCGGGGTAACGCATCCTTTGACTGTGCATCGTTTTGACAGCCGTCGCACTCTTCTGTTTGTTGTCCACGCTCTCCACCGCGTTCGAGCACACAATGGACACCCAGTGGAAGTTGATTGATGACGCCTACAAGCCATGCAATCAAACCCCGGCGAATGTCTCGCCAACGCCCTCGCTGCCAACGCCTGCGACAGTGTGGCAGCAACCGGAGCAGCCGGAGCAGCAGTATGACCCCGAGGCGACCACCATCACGAGTGCTGTAACATTTCCCCTCTACGATGGCAGTGGCAACAGCGAAGGGGAGCCAGGTGAGTAAACCCCGTTTATCCCTACACACACATACACACACACACACATGTGTGATGGCGCAACTACAATATTTGTTCTCTTTGGTGCACCCTCCGCACGCTCTCCTCGCTCTCCTCACCCTCCGCACCCTCCGCAAACAACAGGCAACATTCCACGAGAGCAACAGCCACGCCGCCGGCACTGGCCATCATCTGTGACGCCGCCGACGGGTCTGAGTGAAACTCTAGATGCCACCAGGCCGTGGCAGCAGCAAAGTTCAGAGTCCAAGGAGCAGGTCACGGAGAGTCTGCTGCAGTTGTCACGTGCCGGACGCAGCGGGGACTTCAATCACTCAGATGCATTCGCATTTAATGTTACGGAATATTGTCAAAATGTAAGTGGGGGGAAGGAAAGCCCCACTTGGGGCTCTGCTTCAGGCTTGTGTTTGATATTTTAAATTACTTCAAGAAATCGTTGAGTGGAGGTCGCTAAACCCCAAAGACTTGTAGCAAAATAATCCGAATCTATCTCCCCATTTAATCCTTTAGATGACTGTCTTTAAGCACATTTCCTCGGACTTGGGCAACAACGAGCTGTATTCGAACGCTTGGAGTATGTTCACTCTGGTGGTGTTCGTCCTTTGTCCGCTGTTCCTGCTGGCCACGTTCAACAGCTTTCTCATCCTGCTGGTGCATCGCTCAAAGAGTCTACGCGGGGATCTAACAAATGCCAGCAGCATAAGACGCACCAAGGTGAGCCTCAGAATGCGATCGGAAACGATCTTTAATCTTCCCTTTGCCTGCTTTCAGCGCAAGTCGAACACTGGCCTCACTGGCAGCGTCTCCCAGGAGAATCGTGTGACCATCACCCTGATTGCCGTCGTTCTGCTGTTCATTGTGTGCCAACTGCCGTGGGCCATCTATCTGCTGCTCGATCAGTATTTGAATATAGCGCACGGTGCCCAGGTGGTGGCCGGCAATGTTTGCAATCTGCTGGCCGCCCTCAATGCCGCCTCGAACTTCTTCCTCTACTGCGTGCTGTCGGACAAGTACCGGAAGACGGTGCGCGAACTGATCACAGGGTATCGCTATCGTCGTCGCCATGCACGCAACAATACGAGCCTCTACGCGGGCCACCATACCACCACAACACTGACCCACATCAATGGAGATCATCATCATGGAGGTGCATCGCCGTACAGTGGTTCAGCTGGCGGCGGTGGCAGCAGTCGTCGCAGCTGCAGTCGAAGTCGCAACCTGGCAGCGGCCACGGGCCGCCTGATAGCGTGAGGGTCGTGAGGGTCGTGCGGATTGCGGCAGTCACGAGTGCTGGCAAAAGCGTGACTGAGCGTGAGTTAAGCGTGATTTGATGTAGAGCGAGTCACTCAGGAGTCACGAATGAGGAGAGGACTGACACGCCTGCGTGGAATATTGCAATGGATCAGCAATAGATTAGCCACCATAAATGCTTGATTGATTGGCCTGACCTGTGAGTCTTCATTTTGTCTCCCACTCTCTCTCTATAGATTTAAATTATACATAAAGATAAAGATTAAATAACATACATTGTGCCATAATGTGATGATTATAGTTGTATGCTAGTTAACCTAAACATAATTGTTGTCCTAAGTACTAAACGAGAATCAAATACAAAAAACACACAAAAAACGAGGAGGGACAATGAGACGCTTCTTACGCGTCACAACTTTTATTCCCGGTACTCAGTAGTACATCTGTACCTTAGTGGCGGTTTTCAAATTGTAAATTCTAAATTTATTCCACATACGTATGTGGTTTAAATTTATTAGTTATTCAGTAGACAAATTAAACCGATGCGAAGACAACAGCCGATTGTTCGTTTCGTGCCAAAGAAAAGTCGATGCGTTCTTTTGGGCACTAGGCAAACTTTGAATATAGCTGGGACTGGATAGAGCGAACGATGGATAGAGCTTACATCCCAAAACTTCAGTGACGCAGAAGTTGACATAAAGAACTGAAAAAACTGTCGCTGCAATGCATTGCAATGGATAAGCGTCTGCGGTAATCAAAGTTTATGTGCAGTGTGCAGGTGCAAGCGAACAACTTATATGTTTAACTGTACAAAAAAAAAGTTATTTAGTTTACCAACTTCCGTCCATGGTTCACATTCCTCTCATATTCTCTCGGCCCACAAGTCTGAGGGTTAGGAGGGCAGCTTGGTTGCCGGGTGAAAGGCGGGGACAGTATTTCTACTCCTTTCCCGCTCTCCGTCACATTTTTTCGGAGTCAGATGCAATGTGTCACTTCTGCCCGAGACTGACAGACAGATTTAGACTCGGCCATAGATTCTGATCAAGAATATATACATTTCATGGGGTCGGAAACGTTTCCTTCCTTACCTTATTTACTCTTCGAGTACCGGGTATAAAAACAACCGAGAATGTTGCAGTTTCCGTTTTCTTCTGTTTTTGAAAGTGTTAGAGGAATAAATCCACAGACGGGCAGGAAGATGGAGTTTGAAATTAAACAAAAAAAACAGTGGCCCTATCCCTTATCCGGTCTGTTTTCAGTTTCCGTAGAGCCTATGGAGGTGGCTTTTGTTTTTGCCACCCACACCTGAAAAACTCTTTAACAATCTTCAGTGGCATTGCACAGAGTCAGTGGCTTGACCAATACCTAATTGAATGCCAGCCAAATCCACAAAAACGATGTCCAGAAATAGCTGCAGCTCCACAGGGTGCAGGAGCACAGGGACACAAAGGCGGCGGACCACAACAGCTCCAGCTAAGCCGATAATTGAAGGTGCAGGCAGGGAGGACTGTGGTTGGGGCTGCTACTGAGGCCCTTGCCGCTGTGATAATTGCTTTGGGGATGCGCTTTGAATCGAGTTCCAAAAGTGGAACGGCCAAGAATTGTCCCAGTGGCAGTGGCAGTGGCAGCGGCTTAGTGGTAACTAAAAAATATGGAGAACCATAGGAACTCAGCTCGCACACATGGATGGTGCCACTGCCACTGGGGGTGGCAACCATTTGCGGCTTACTGCATTTCTGCGAATGAGCAGTGCCTTACCATAAATAATGATGGAATTAATTGTGTGATTACATTCGCAGGATGCACTTTTAAGGATGTCAAAGTGAGAGTCAATAAACGAGCAGAAGGAAGAGCAGATCTTTGGAGCTTCGGAAAGTGTTTTAAGGCGTAATCGTAAGCCGCGAGAAACGGACTGGACACGAGGACAAATATGAACTGAATTGAGAGCAAGATTTCATGGTTGTAATCCCAAAAGATTTGGCACAATTATAGCACCATTTAAGGGCATAATTGAAAGTATTTTTAATCGTTTTCGTTCTTGGATCTTCTTTACCAAGAAACATATCCATTTAGGATGTGGCTTGAGTGGTTCTATTCGTTACCCAAATGGGGGAACCCCAACCAAAAATGATAGAAAATAGAAAACGGAAATATATTTAAAAATCGAGAAACGCTCGCTCCCACCATCCCCACCGCAATCTCCGCTTTCTGTCCCCTTTCTTATGGAGTGCATGAAAAATTACAAGTCAGCTTCACAATTGAAATATTTCCGCCTCAACGCCCTGAAATGCGCAATCGAAAATAGTTATCTCTCGCCCAGCAACCCAGCAACCCAACCACCCACACATCCGACTCCTCCACTTCCTGCCTCCTGCCTGGTAACAGAAATATGCACCCAATCGATGGGTGGAACGTATCTCAGGGGTGCTGCTCTCTGCTCGGATGTGGCAGCAGCGAACGGGGACATCGATGTGCGACACATATGTGCATTATGTGTGGGGGCCCCAGTCGCCAGTTTTTCCCAGTCTCTGGGATGCCCGGTTCTGGTCCGAAAAATTTCCATATTTGATTGTTTTTGAACGCCTGCCGCAGGGCGAAAGAGTGCTGGAACGTAGACACACACAGAGAGAGAGAGAGAGAGAGAGAGAGAAAAATGAGATCTGCGGCGTCTGTTTATTGAAAATGGCATATAAAAATCGAGTGGGCGTCGTCCATGGTCCGTGGTGCGTAGTCCGATTGTCGATTGCCGATTGCCGATGGGGAGGGAGGGAACAATGCGAAAGCATAACATAACTGTACGTGTGCATCCATATGCATACATGTGTGTATATTTACATACACGTAACAGGAAAGACTCATATGTATAGCTTGCCTCCACGCCCCACCACCCCATTGCCATTCCGCCTAACCAAACATCAACCAATATGATAAAAAATATTAAGCAAAAAAGAGCGAGGAGACACCATGGATGCATCAACGTTTTGAGGGGAATTTTCTTTTCTTTTCAAGCTGAAGAGTGATATCTGAACCATCGAAGAATCCATCAGCCCACGCGAGGGGGGGTTCAAAGAAACCCAAGGGGAAAGCGCAAAATAATAATAATTTACATGGCAACAGAAACATAATCAGTCCATGGCAGAAATCACTTTCAAACAGATCAATGTAGAGCCCATGACAGTGTTGTACAGCCGCATATACCCCACATTTACCCCCCATGCCACATGCCACACGGACAGACGGACAGACAGGCGGACAGACAGACAGACAGACAGACAGACAGACAGTATGCAAAACATTCTCAGTGACACAAAAGCGAAACGGAGTCGGTAGGACAGACACAAAAAAAAGGCGCCAACTCCAAACAAAAACCAAAAACAAATAGGCAGAAAAAAATTAAGCTCTCATGACAAAGCGAAAGTCGGATAATGCCATAACAGCAGCAGCAACAACAACAGCAACAACAGCGACACAGAAAAACATTATAAAGTATCATGACAACTTTTTTTGTTTCATGCATCTGCAACTGCAACTGCACCACCCTTTCCCCGCCAACCGCGTTGACAGTCAAAAAGTTGCCACAGAAAACAATTTTCTGTTGCAATCTTTATATGAACAGTCCCGGTGCACATTCCACTCCCCCCCCCTCGTGATTTTTCGCTTACAAAAGTATTTTGTTGCTTTGCATTTTTTGTGGCATTTATTTTGTTTTATTTTAGTGATGATAAACTTAATCAGGTTGCAGCAATGGCTAAAGTTTTCACACAATTAAAGGACACAATTTTATAGCGGCTTTCCACGCTTTTCACTGTTTAAACTTTAAAGTTAATTTTGCATTAGTCAGGCAGCAAAGTGAGCCAAGTGGGAGGCTGAGTGCTGGGGACTGCTGCCTGCTGGCTGCTGGCTTGGGGCTGTTGCTGTTGCTGAGACTGAGACTGATGGATCATTGATGGACACGCAAGGCACTTTGCTGGCTCGCTGGCTGGCAGTGTGTTGCCACAAAATCAAGCCACATTGATGGAGCGGAGTCAACGGCAATGAAAACCCAAATGAGCGACGCGAGACGACGCTTTGAGCGCTCCACTCGATTAACTCGTTGTGGCAGCAATGACTGACTGGGGACACAGCCATCAGGGGGAGGGTCACATCCAACTGCCATCGATGCCTGATTAACGATTGAGAGAGCAGCAGCTGCAAAGGAAGTCAAAGGCAAAGGCAAAGGCAAAGGCAAAGGCAAATGCCTTGCTCGGGAATAGGCAGCCTCTGTTCTGGGGATGTGACGCCTTTTGGTACTTCTATCATCAATGCTAGATGGCCTGTGAATCCCTTCTGACATTGACAAATAGTGTGCGAAGTGGAATGCAGCCAACCCAACCCAACCCAACCAATTCGCCCACGCATGCACATACGCCCGCTCCAAGCATGCCGTGGCAAAATGTGTTGCATACTTGCGGGCGCAAATTATTGCCAGAAGGCAGCTGCTGCTGTTGTTGCTGCTGCTGCTGTTGCTGCAGTTGCTGTTGCTGTCGCTCGCCAGTTTGCTAATTAACAAAGCACTTTACAGCTGTCCGCAGCAAAATGCAGAGGAGCCCAGAGGGAAGGCCCCGCAGCAGCAGGAGTAGCAGAAGGAGCAGCAGCGACAGCGAATGCAATGAGCATACATACATATCCTTTAGCACCATCTCTCTCGCTCTCTCTCTTTGGCTGTGCTTGGCCCAAGTCGTGTTCTCACCTTTGCGACTCCTTGCGACTGACTGCTGCCTCCTGTTGCTGCATTAATTAAATTTTATAACGTCGCCGTTGCAGCTGCTGTTGCTGTTGCTGTTGCTGTTGCTCCTTCTGCTGCTCCTTCTGCTGCTCCTTCTGCTGTTCCCGTTTCTGCTGTTCCCTTTAGCCGTGTGAAATATGAACAAGTGGCGCGGCAGAGCGCGCTGCATAATTTGACGGCGCCGCAGCGACAGCATTTAGAATTTGTCATCAAGTGTGCCCCTGCTGTTGCTGTTACTGTTGCTGCTGCGACTGCCACTGCCACTGACACCTTAAAGTGAGTGGGAATAAATGTTGCAGCGCTGCAAGTACATCGATTCATATGAGCAAATTCTGGGGTTGCCTCTGGGAACTCTCAAACTGAGTTGAAACTGGAGAAAGAACAAACAAAAGAGAAGATGGGAGAGGGCTTGCAGCGGTAGTTGCAAAAACAAAAACGAATTTAAATAAAACAAAATTCGAAGGTTAAGCGGTAGAAATCATTTTGTGGCTTCTGGGAAGTAAGCCAAATAAATGTACAACTCGAATAACAAACTGCACACAACCAGACAGAGAAGGAGCAAGAAACAGAGACCGAACTAGAGAGAGAGAGAAAGATGGAGCTGAATAATCCCT